TCTAGTTAAAAAATATTAAATTTTAGATAATTACAATTAAATTACTTAATTGATTGATTGTAACCATCATGTTATGTATCATGGCATCCATCGGTGTTGGTCATTGTATAATATAGTCGATGAATCTCAAATCTCGTTATAAGATTCACCTTAATTTTAATCTTGGGATTAAAATTTTAAGAATCCCTTTCAAAAGTCACGTAATACTTTTCAACTCATTGAACTTTGATTAAATCGTCGACTCGAAATATGTTCTTACTTACGACAATCTCCTCGCCATTCAGATTATCGAATGGAACCCTCGAAACCTAAATGTTTTCTTTAGATGAAGTGACTTGTTTATGGTATTTTAAAACCGGGAGGCTCATTTGTAATCTTACTAAAGAATAAAACTTCTTAGTCTGTACCAGAGGCCTGCGTTGCGTCGGCGGTTGGCTTTTCCCCATTCTTTTGTTTCGTTTCAGATCCCCCCGTACGGTGTCGTTTTTGTAGGTAAAAGACTCGATTATTACGATCACTATCTGCTTTTGGTCCTTATATAGCCTTTGATATGGTCCTTCCAGGAAACCTCGGGGGAAGTAAAAGAAGGGTGTGATATTGGAGAATAAAGAATATTCCGTGCGGACACCGCTTGCGTGGCAACGAAGCCGCGCGATAACCGCACGAGATCGCCTAAACCAATCCACAGAGTCGAGCGTCCGTTGAAAGAGTCGAGCGCTACCGGTGTCGGTGGGTGTTTGATTTTCTTTTTCTTTTTTTAAAATAAACCACAAATTATATACACATACTCCTTAGTTACATCATCATCCTCGTCATCCATGTAAAGGTAAAGGATAAAGTAAATACAAACGATCACTTTGATGATTAGATTTTTAAAATTATTTACAATATTATAAAATAAATATTAGTGAAAGAGACACTCAAAGTCTCTGAGCTTCTAAAAAAAATCAATGTATCCGATTTAAAAAAAAAAATCATTTGGTCATTTAACTAATGCTTTCCGTTATTAATCAACGGTTTTGTTAATTCTGTTGTTATAAATTAGTTAAATTACACCATTAATCACTAAACTATTTTTTTCTTTTATTTTGGTAATTAAAATAAAAAATGTTTTTATTTTTGAAAACTTTAAAGATTTTAGGGACTAAGTCTGTAGTTAACCCATTTTAAACTACACAAATGCTCACTTTTAGAGTTAACTACAGCCTAATACTCGCACCCACATCCATCAGATCTTCCACCTTTTTGCCTAAATATTATGATATTTTTTGAACAATTACAATTAGATTTTATTAATAATAATAAATGAAGGAATTAGAATTATAATATACCCAAACATAAAAAAGAAATACGGATAATAGTCATCAACAAATTCATACAAGAACAAAAATATTAATTCAAACATAAAAAAACCTTCAATTGAAAATGACGAGCAACATCGAAAGAATTTAGTAACTTTTATAAAAACTCATTGTCTCTGTCGAACGAGACGCTTTACAAAGTGATAAAGAAGTGGTGAGCGAACTAAACTATATGACAGACCGTTTCGCTATAAAATTCTGATTATATCGACAAACAACCATTTATCAAACAGGTGATCTGAAAGTTTGATCATTTCTAAACCAATCAAAAAATAAATATCATGATGATCTTTGTGCGAACACAAAAATGACCATAAAGGTATGCGAAAAGAAATAAGATTCATGTCACAAGAGCAAAAAAAATGTGTCACAAGAGTAGAGAATAGTGTTTCACAAATCTTATTCAAAATTTTAAAAAGAAAACTCAAAAAAAGGAAAACAATGGACATAATGTGAAAGAACAAGAGAATTAATAATTGCAGACGATAGTCAACCAACATTAAGATTGATGTAGTCGCCAGGTAAATAAAAATTAAAGAAAAAGAGAAAACAACACAAGAACATTAAGAGAAACCCTAAATTATTGTGATGTTATTTTTTTAATAGTAAACATTGTGATGTTATAATAAATATAAAGGCTCGGTAATAATTAGTGATTATTATAACATTTTGATAAAATTTAATAATTATTTATAACCGTTAATGAATTCAATGATCATTTTATAATAGTTTGATAAATTTAATTATATTTTTAAATTTTAACCATCAAACAATCACTTAACCATAGTTTAATGACTTCTAATATACTTTATTTAGAAGTACAAATTTAAATATAAGTGCACGAACCAAAATTACCTCGGTGGTTAAAATAATAATTGTTATTCTTAGAGATTTTGGGTTCAAGCACTAACGGCTGTAGTAGGGGTGATTGAGAGTTCATTATTAAATGATTAATAATATCTAGAACATATAATATTTTATTATTATCTTGTCATAACTTTTTTTAAAGCGAAAACAATTAGTGTTTGCGAAAATTTTGATTTTTAGTATTAATTTAATTTGGAGTAGCCATCGACCTTTGGGTTAGGTAGGTCGAGTACCTAAGAACGGTTTTTTAAAATAATTTTAAGAAAAATCATTTTAAAGACAAAAATTAGTTTGCGTTCACCGAATATTCATTTTTAAGGGATTAGAGTAGGAGTGTTCATTCGGTTAAAACAGTGACCGATCGAACCGAAATACCCTTAATCGAATTAATCGAACTTTTTTTTCATTAACCATTAACCGAACCGATTTTTTTGAAAGTATTAACCGAACCGAATAAATTTCGGTTAATTCGGTTAATTTTCGAATTAACCGAAATTTTTAGAATTTTAGAATTTAATATTTTTTAATTAAAAAATAGTTTACAATTAATTTAAATAATATCTAATTATAAATAATATCTAATTAATTTGATTTAAACATTATATTAAAATAAGATATTTGTATCTATCAATTTAGTTTAAAAAACCAATATATTTGAAATTTTACAAAAAAAATCAGAACAAAGTGTAAAACTGGAAGCATAATTCAGTCTGATACAAACAGTTTACACTTTAAGGGGGTGTTTGGTTCACGGATTTTTTGCATTCCTAGAAGGAATCTTTTTTTCCAGATTAAAATACCCACGTTTGGATAGTGAAGGTAAAACTTCAATACCAACAGTAATTCTTTTGTTCTATTTTACTGGGAATATTAGTCTCACCTCTACCTTAAGTATTTGTTTATTCTCGTCTCTGTTGGCTAAAATACCCTCCCAGTAAGCTTGATTCTGCGAAGGAAAAAATTCTTCTTCGATTTAGCGAGAGAAGCTCCTATAGTATAATTCCTCTTCCAATTTCAAAGACCACATTATTCGTATCAGTTATGGAATATCATCAAATTAGTGAAATTGATATCAACAACAAGAACCTCAAACCAAGGCAGCTACAGCTGTTCGTTAAACTTCTCAATGGAGGGACTCTGTTGCTCTAATTTTCGGCCCCTCAAATCCAAGTCGGCGATGTCAAGCACCGAATTTATGAAATTGCCAAAATCTCTATCAACCTCCAGCTCCTGATTGGCGTCCATCAACTCAATGACAATTCAGAGATTTCCCAGTCCAACGCCACCCTCAATCTCTCCCTGCGGCTTATTAGTGGCAAAGGAGGTTTCAGATCACTGCTACATGGCGCAGCCACGAAGGTCGGGCAAAAAAAAGATGAGCAATTTTGAGGCATGCTGAGACATGAGCGGGAGGAGGCTGAGCCATGTGAACGCAATTAAAAAAGGTTAGAGGATTGGAAAGTGGATGAGGAACAGAGGAGGTTGGAGAAGATCACAGAAGACTTTATTAAGAAGAAAGCAAAAACTGGGAAAAAAGGAGTTGGAGATGGAGAGGCTGAGAAGTATGTGGCGAAGTATAGGGAGCAATCAACGAGGTGTGTGGCGGTGGTTGAAGAGTTTGTTAGGGCAACGTGCCAAAATGGAAAGGGAAGGATGTGCCAGGAGGAGCTGACCCCAAAAAATTAAAGATTTGGTAAGTTTTTAAGATAATTTAATTTGCTGGTAATTTAGGTTGGTATTAATGTTTTGGATCATTTATTCGTTTTTGTTTGATCTTTTAGGATGGGGAAAAGAAAAGTGGATAAGAGTGATAGTGATAGTGATGATAGCGTTGTGGATGAAGAAGAGAATGAGAAATCTGTAGTTTTGAACAATGGGAATCATTCTAATTCTAGCAAGGGAACCGAGGGGAGTTCTGGTTTAGTTTCGGGGGGAATCAGGATATGGAATTTTCAAGTGGAGCCTCAAGTGAGACTAGCTTCGAGGAAGAGAAAGAGGTTGTTTTGCAGCAAAGCTCGGAATTTTGTGGTGAAAATGCTCCTGCCATTGCTGGAAGTGAAGCAGCTCAAGCTGATGGGATGCTGAAACATAATGGAACTAAAATAGAAGATCTGGTGGAAATATTTGGTCAACATTCCAGTGTTCCACTTGCAGAAAATGGAGGAGTTGGAAGTGAACTAAATAATGAGGTTAATTGCTCTTTTAAACCGGAATCAGAAGTTCACAAAGAAACAGTAGTTTTAAATGCTAACATTACAGAACCATAAAAGCCATTGAACTTTAACGACTTCAATTCTTCAGAAGAGATCGAGGTATGGTTGAACACTTCAAGTTCTTTACCTTTTTCCTGAGCTTAATACTAATAAAGATCAATACCATTGATACATCGTTAGAAAAATTCTGCTTTCAACTAACTCAATTATTGCATACCTAGATGATATAGGATATTCAGCGGTTTGTAGTTGCAATTTTATCAAATGCTTTCCTTTAGCGCAAGTAAATTTGGCCATAGCTATTTGATGTTATTTTAGCTTTGTCTTCATGTTCTTGTGTACAAAGTTATTGGACCAGACCAATTGAATAATTGAAGAAAAGATATCATGGAGTGAAATTTAAAATCAGCATATGAATTGAATTGTCATGGGCCTCGCGGTGATGCGGTTGCTTTTATAATGCTTAACGATGATACATCATTAACTGTTTTTATCATTTCTAAAGGTTCTTGGATTGGAGCAGCTGAAATCTGAACTGCATGAACGCGGGCTTAAATGTGGTGGTACATTACAAGAGCAAGCTACCCGTCTTTTCTTGCTAAAGTCTACCCCTTTCGATGAGCTTCCAAAGAAGTTGCTTGCAAAGAAATGAAATAACCATGTAGTAGGGTGAGACTTCATATAACAACATAAGTGTATTGATAAGGAGTGCTCTTTTTATCAAACCAAGAAATGTGTATATTTCTCTTGTCATATTTAATAATGTATGATTTGGTTCTTGTAAGGTGAAGCCCTGTTAGGTAAAATAAAGTTCTCATGGCCTAAACTAAATGTTTGGATTTACGGAATAATAAATGTTCTAACATTGATGTGCATCATTGATCTTAAGTGTTTATCTTTTATAAGAGTAACCTCAGCTTTTATATTTTACTTCTCCTGGCCTAAACTGAATGTTTAGATTTGTGGAATGATAAATGTTAAAACATTGATGTGCATCATTGATCTTCTTAAGTGTTTCTTATCTTTTATAAGAGTAACCTCAGCTTTTATTGTCATTCTTTTTCACTTAAGTCCACCAACTTTAATCCTATGAATTATGGTTCCTACGCGTTTGAAGCACTCGGCTACGTGTATCACTTGACAATATGTTTCTTATTTTACAAAATATACACTTAGATTTGTTGATACAAATTTAGGTAAGGAAGGATAAAATGGGATAAGAAAATTGGTGGTCTCTCAGTTTAGTAGGTCTTAATCCTAAGACATTCCTTGCTTTATTAATGTTTTGGTTGGATGTAAAAAAATTGTTTGGTAGAATTGATAAATGAAACTTTGTTTTGTAAAATACATATTTTAATCTAACCCATATTTTTCTCATATTTATTTTCATCTCCTCTCTAAAATTTGAACACATATAATAATGTTGTAATACTAACTTACTTCAATTTAAACAACTCTATTTAATTATATGCAATATACATATGTGGATTTTCTCATATAATTTTTCGCATGTGTAAGTAAAATTTGTAATATTATTTAGTAAATTAAATATCATTTAAATTTATATAATATACTTATAATGTTCATTCTTAAAAAAATAATGGATTTTGACAATAAAATATAGATGATAGTATAAAAAGAGTTCATTGGTTGGCATGAATAAAGAATTTGCTTATTTAATTAAATGTTCATCTAATAAAGTCATCTTTGTACATTTTGGTAGAAGTAATATGGTTCATCTATTAAAATGTTCATATGCTTATTTACTTAAATGTTGATGTAAAATTTTAAAATATTTTTAGATAAATTATGTAAAATTTAATATTAATTAAAATAAAAATAATCTATGATATATTTACTCTTTTATTCTACCCATTTATCTTTTAAATTTTATAAAAAAAATTATATATAAATTTTATTAAAAAGTATATATTTATTAAAAATAATAAAGTAATATATTCTCGAATAATTTTTATATAAATATTTTCATTTAAATATTTAAAATTTCACTTGTTAAAAACTATAGAACAAGGACAATTTCGTAAAATATACATTCCAGTAATATTTTATTCCTTCAACCAAACACTGTAGTCTTACATTCCTGTCAAACAAACCAAACACATTAATGTAACATTCCCAGTAATGTGCTAGGTAATGTTACATTCCGGTAATCCTATTCCCGGAGGTAATCTTACATTCTGTGAACCAAACGCACCCTAAGTGTTGTTGCATGAAGGTTGTGCTAACTGCTAAGATGTTGACTGCTACTGCCATACCAACCAAGATGTTCTCTATCAAGTACAGAACAATTCATATCTTAAGATTAAGTAAACATATTACCTGCACAGTGCACAACATAGAAATAAAGAGATGTAAAATTCAGTTCGAACCAACAAAAACAATAAAAACAATCAAATGTATAAATATCAAATATATCTATTAAGTATCAACCAATGCTAAAATTATAAGTGCTAAGCTAACTCAATCTTATGTAATACAATCTTATTCATATCTGAATGTGCTAAACATCATCACTTCATCAGAGGCTCAGAGTTGTGTTAATTAGTAACTACTCCAGCTAATGAAATTAAAATGAATGTAAGGGAATAAATTACCACAAAAAAGCAATATTCAAAATACTCCATTTTCACAAATTGAATCCTCCCAAAATGTTTTCATTTGCCTTATCTCTACAAGAAAAATATATTATTTTAAAACTAAAAATATAACAGAAAAAACCGTATATATAAACTAAAAAGTACATTGCAGTTTAGAAGTATCAATTAAGAAAAAATTGCATACCCTTCAACTCATACTCACAATGTAGAAGCTTATGAGCTCATGAATTGAGGGTAGGATGTAACGCATTCCAAGATAAATCTAAAAGTTCAAATGATTAAATCAATTAATAGTGTGTCAATTCTCCTCAAAGTAAATCCACTTATTAAATTAAAATTAATAAATAAAAAATCAACATATCAATATCAATCTTGTCAAGCTCTTGAATTTGTTCTTCAAACTTCTTGATCTCCTCTTCGGTTGATGAATTTTTAATATAATCTTGAGTACACACAAGAGCTTGTACCATTTTAGGAGTTAAAAAACTCCTAAATTGATCAAGCACATGTCCACCGATACTAAATGCAGACTCTGAAACGTCAGTAGAAAGCGGTATAGCTAATACATATTTGCCCATATTTGAGAGAACTGAAAATCTAGGGCTATTGACTTCCCACTATGACAAGATATCAAATTCATCATCATAATTCTCAACAGGCTCCCCTAGATATTTATCTAATTCAGATGTGTGATCCTCACCACCAGTTTCAATCACACGTATTTTATTCAAATCTTTAATGCGTTTTTTCACTTTTTGTTGTGGCTCACTTAAAGAAATTCTCACATTTAAATGGTTGCCATCACTAGAGACTCGAGGCTTATACTCATCATACAATTCATTCAAAGTCTCTTTTAGCTTTTGCATCACTTCAAAACTTTTTTCCCCGAATCATACATCTCACTAAGTGCAAATTCAAGATAACTTAATTTCTGCGTAGGATCTAAAACACAACCAACAAAAACAAGCATATTCATCTTCTCAATACCACCCCAATATTTTTCAAATTTATCTTTCATCCTCATGGCCATAACACTAAATTCAACATCAGCACTTAATTGAACATCCCTTAAACATATACAAATTTCAGTAAGTTCATAAAAAAATTATTATATGTGACATATGAAGTACCTGAAACTCGTAAAGTGACTTCATAAAAATATTCCAAGAAATCCCTCAAGTTTCTAACACAAGTCCAATCATTTATAGTTGGCCAACCCTCTTCTAACTCAAGTTCAACCCTAAAATTTGTATCTTGCTCCTCAAATCTCTCAAAAGCTCTCTCAAAATATTCAGCAATGTCTAACATTAAATAGGTAGAGTTCCACATAGTACAAACATCAAGACATAACATTTTTCTCTCAATTTTTTCCATCTCAACACACTCCATGAACTTTTTTAATCTAGCTGGAGATTGTCTTACATATTTCACAGCCCCATAACACGTGCAACAGATTTGTTCATTTCCTTTAAACTTTCAACAACAATCAAATTCACAATATGTGCAATACATCTTATATGAAGATATTTACCATTTGCAATGCAACCCCCTTGAGGACTAAATCTCTTTCTTAAATAACCAATATCAATATCATTCGAAGTTGCATTGTCAACGGTGACAGTAAACAACTTATGAATCCCCGAATCTAATAAGTATTTCTCAATCATCAGCCAAATTGCATATCCCTTATGACTAGAAATTGGATAAAAAAACTTATGATTTTCTTATTCAATTTCCAATCGTTATCAATAAAGTGCACAGTGAGACACATATATTTAACTCTTTGCATAGAGGTCCATGTATCAGTAGTTAAACAAACTCTAGAACATGAACTTCTTAAATATTGTTTCAGATTACTCCTTTCATCCGAGTACAACTGATAAATATCTCTAGTTATAGTCAATCTTGAATGAATTGGGGCATGCTACAGACATAAATTTTCTAAATCCTTCACTCTCAACAAACTTGAAAGGCAATTCATCAGTCACAATCATTTGGGCTAAAAATTTTCTAGTTGCTTCTTGATCGAATTTCTAAGTTGTGAGATGTTCTACTTCCCCTCGAAGATCCTTACTAGGTAACACTAAATTGCCTTGATTAGTGTCAATGTTGTTAGGATTTTCCTTACACTATTTCATGTGATATATTCATGACCCAGTTCTATTTTTTCCCATCACAACAAAATTCTTTCTCACAATGATTGCATCTACACTTACTTTCACCCTCACTATTAAAAAACTTAGTAAAATGAGGTCATACTTCTGACCTTAAAGGAGTAGCTTTTCGTTTACTTGCAGTCTCTCTTGTGTTGTTGATTTGACTTGAAACTTCAACCGTTCAATTTGTAGAATTTGATAAAGGGGGTGAAACACTTCCCTCAACAGATGTTGCCATATTGGACATCTACAGCAAAATAGATAAGGTATCATGGCATTTATCACTTCAAGAATTCTATTAGATCCCATACTAGATAGTTTTAAGCAACTTAGTTATTGTAATTTCACAAACATGTTAAAATTACTCTTTGAACATAAAATTTCAGTACTGACAGCATTTGCTTCGAATGTTATCTAAAATAAAGAAGTGTAGCAAGAATCACATGCTAGTACAAAATTCCACTGGAGCTTAAGGGAAATTGAGACATAGCTATCACTAAACTATCCATGTAGTGCATGCTTGAAATTAACATACAAAGTGTTCGAGAATGTGACAACTTTGAAATACTGTAAATATTCCATGTCTAACTTCCAGTAGATTACCTAGATTATTCAAGTTGGAAGCTGTAAGTTTGAAGTGGCACATGAGTGGAAATTGCAACCACATGACACACCCCAAAAATATCTTTATTTGGCTAGTAGACATTATTGCTAGCCCAAAGACAAACATAAATGACCAATGGATTTCTCTTTTAATGTTTAAGGGACACAAAGCACAGAACAGAGTCTTGTTTGTCAACGTTAACAAAGTGTTCTCTCATGGTTTTCCTATTTGTCATTTCTAGATCTCATGTCAATGGCTCTATTAGACCTGCACACAATGAATAAAATCAGTTTAATACATCGATTTGGTAAGGGAACAATGGCTCTGGATTGG